GTTGTTGTTGTTGTTGTTGTTGTTGTTGTTGTTGTTGTTGAACAGTCTGGGCTCTTGGGAAGATTTGGAATATTATTTTGAACCAATTCTGCATTGCTCCCAAGAGTTAGCATGGTTGTCTCTACGAAGTTCTCAGAACCTGAACTCAACTTTAGATCAGGTTGCTTTTCCAAGTTTCCAAGACACTCTCTTTTTTTAACTTACTTGGTGTAGAAAAATCCCCACTCTAAGCATGAAGAATTAAACAAATCTCCTTTCACATTATAACCTTTGGTAATTATGGGCCAGAAGCAGTGGTGGGATTCAACCAATGTAACAGCTGGTTTGCTGAGCATAGTCCATTTAAAAACATCTCTAAAACTTACCTTCTACTGCAGCCCTGGTGAGTAAAACAGCTGAGGCATGGCAATCCGCTCTGCCACGCCTATCAGCTGGGCTTCAAACAAAGGAAATATAGGACAGACTAGCACAGAGGTGGGTGGGCAGGCCAATTGATTGCTGGAACTACTGGTTTGCATGAACCATTCCGAACTGACTGAATCCTATCCCTGTCCAGAGAAGCTTTCCTGAACCATAATAAGCAATAGCTTCCAGCTTCCATAACCAGCACTGAAAGCACAACCTTTTTTGGGGTGCCATTCCTCATTTTTAAAAGTCTCCTCTTACCTCCTACAGTATTTAAGGCCTTGTGTATGAAATCGGCAGCCTCGTGGAAGAAGACACTTATGTCAAACGAATTGTCATCGAAAGCTTGCACTCCATAGTACTGAATCGGCAGGTCTCGGTAATAACGAGCTCCAGTGTTGATGTTGTAGGGCCCGTCGGCTGCATTAAGGATATGAGTGATGCCAATGCTCTGAAGAATGGATTTACTTCTTGCTGCCCATCTATCAAAAGACAATCAAGGCTTGTCAAAAGACAATCAAAAAAGAGGAAAACTGGAGAGCCATCTTCGCCCCATTACATCGGCCCACCCCGCCTGGTCAAGCAGAGAAGGTATGCTACAAAAGCCATCAATTAAAGAACTTTGACTGGCAGGATTCAAGAAGAGACCCTTCTCTATTAATTGCTTCCATCCTTTGGAACAGCTTCCCTCCCCTCCCCCCAGGGGGTGTGGTGCCCCCCACATTCTCCTGGCCTTTTGCAAACACCTGAAGACCTGGCTCTGCCGACTCATTTGGGCCCCACAGAAAAGCATGCTGCCACAGATTTAGTTATTCTGAATGTTAAATGTTACTTTACCTCGTACTCAGAGATTTATACAGTTTTTTATGTCTTAGCGCTGCACTGGCACAGTGGTTAGAATGCAGTACTGCAGGGTACTTCTGCTGACTGCTGGCTGTCTGCCTGAAATTTGGCAGTTTGAATCTCACCAGGCTCAAGGCTGACTCAGCCTTCCATCTTTCTGTAGTTGGTAAAATGAGGACCCAGATTGTTGGGGGCAAGTAAACTGCTTAGAGAGAGCTGTAAAGTGCTGTGAAGCAGTATATAAGTCTACATGCTATTGCTATTATTTGGACACCAGAATCACTTTGTGAGGGATGTGGCTTTTAAGTCTAATATATAAATATAAAATAAACAAATCACTTCTTGGATACTGTTGAATATCATGCCGAAGCCCACAGGGGCTCCTATCAAATGAATTTCAGCTACCTGTAACCTGTGTAGTGGCCTGCCAGTGGCCAGTGAAGCTGGAAGCAGAGTCAGACAGTGAAGAGATCGGGGAGGAGTATAGGCCAGTCCTGGAGGCTGGGGAAGGCTCAGACGAGAGCTCTGCATCAGAAGCAGAGAGGGGGCCAAGGCCATCTGGCAGTTCTCAGCTGTCTTCAGAGCTAGACAGCAGTGAGGCAGAGGAACAACTGGAACCTGTTCCCAGCATGTGCATGCACAGAGCTTCCAGAAGAGAAGAACAGCTAAGAAATCAGGGTCGACTTGGGAGTAAAGCCACAGGTGAACAGCAGTGGTAGGTTGCACTTACCTTCACTACCAGTTTGCTGATTAGGCGTGTGAGGGTTCCGTTTGTGTGCACACCTGACTCACGCTGTGTGTGCGTGTGCAATCCACCACCCCTGCAACAACCAGCTGATTGTTGGAGCTCACACAGGCACCGCATGCTGTCTGTGTGCACAATTTGTCATGAAAACAGGTATAGAGCACAGGCCGGCAGGCAGGCCAAAAGAGCCACCGTATCAGTTTGCTTTCAGCTGCTCCGTCCCACTACCGGTTCAACTGAACCGGGCCGAACTGACAGTAACCCACCTCTGGTGGAAGGTGATTGGCCCCTCCATTAGGAAATAAAAGAGGAGCGATAGGGGAGTGGGATTTTGCAGGAAACAATTCATTTGTTCATTTGTTAGTTTGTTTCAGGAGTGTGAAGATCTGTCCGTGAATCTCAGAGACTCTGTGCCAAGTCTTTCCTTGCACTGCACTGCATTTGGAAAATATTTACCTGGCAGCTTTCCAAGCTAGATAAGGTCTGTGGTCATAACTTCACCTTTGAAAGACTTTACCAGGTCTTTGCTGAATGTGAATGAGAGGAATTCACATTTGTTTAATAAAAGGGTTTTTTCCGGGACCAGGAATCTGCTTTGTGCTTTTTGGGGAAGCCTGGGTCTGAACAACCCACTCAGTCCAGGAGTAATAGATCCATCACTGCCCACTTGGTTGCCTCCTTCCTGGTTAGCTATTGAAGCAAAAAAGAAACAAGCATAATTTGTTTTTCTTCCTCTCAATGCTGGGACAAGGGCCTCCAGGAATTCTCCTAGCTTGTTCAGGGGCTGTGATGTTTGTAAGCCCTGGGCAACTCGCTTGATCAAAGTGAAAAATGTTCAGCTTTGATCAGGAAATATGGGTTGATTGACAGTGTTCCCTCACTAGCCCCTGGGCCTGGAATTCTCCTCCATCACTGGTTTACAGACCAAATGTTCTAGAATCATCGCTAGCGTTTCGATTGGAATGGTTTGACAGAGTCATGATGGCTCTGATTTTTAATTATCCTCCAGTGAACGTCTGTCTAATGATTCTTCGGTGTGGATGATAAAAACAATTAGCAGGGTATACAGAATCCAGGAGACTGGTAATGTGTTTTCAGACTAACGAACATAATTAAATGGAGAAGCTTTCAGGCGCTCACAAGGACTTACCTCTATCAATTTATTAAAATGTGCTAGTGAGAAAATGTACTACCAGGCTTCCTCTGATCTTTGGCCACCAAATATTTAGCACGTTTTCCTACGATATGTGGTTCTTTACACTCCACCCATTCTAGGTCTGTGCAGTTTCATTGCACACAGATGGCGACTCAGCCATTCATTTATTTAACATGGAATTGAAGACTTCCAAGATTTTGCTGGAATTTGGGGATCCTGAGGGCAACTAACCACATCCTTTAAAAAAAACCTATATCTGCATTATATCTTAGATTAGTATATTTCAACCTTGGACACCCAGAATTTTGGGAGTTGAAATCCATACAGGTCCAAGTGGCCAAGGTAATTTTAAAAAGGTGAAAAATAACATGCTGATTATGATGACATCATCCATTCAACCATGTCCAACTCTTGGCAATTCTCCACATTTTCTATATAACAGATTAAAAGAGATGGAAGGGACTTGATAGGTCATCTAGTCCAATACCCCCTCCCCCTCCTGCTCAAGCAGTAGACCGTACACCATTTCTGAAAGATGGCAGTCCAGACTCTTCTTGAAAATCTCAAGTGCTGAAACCCCCACAAGTTCTGAAGGCAACTTCTGTTCCATGGGTTGATTGTTCTCACTGTCAGAAAAGTTATTCTTATTTCAAGGCTGAATCTCTCCTTGATCAATTTCCATCCATTATTCCTTGTCTGCTCTTCAGGTGCTTTGGAAAATAGGTTGACCCCCCCTCCTCTCTGTGTAGCCCCTCAAATGTTGCAAGACTACTATCATGTCTCTCCTGGTCCTCCTCTTCACTAGACTAGCCATGCCCAGTTCCTGCAACCGTTCATCATATGTTTTAGTCTCCAGTCCCCTAATCATCCTGGTTGCTCTTCTGTGCACTTTTTCTAGAGCCTCAACATATTTTTTATAATGTGGTGACCAAAACTGGATGCAGTACTCTAGGTGTAGTCTTATTAGGGTTTTATAGAGTGGTATTAGTACCTCACTTGATTTTGATTGTATTCCTCTGTTATTCCAACTTAGGATTGCATTGGCTTTTTTGGCTGCTACCACACACTGCTGGCTCATGTTTAGCTGGTTGTCCACTAAGACTCCAAGATCCCTCTCACAGTAACTGCTATTTAGCCTGGTTTCACCCAGTTTATATGTGTACTTTTGGTTTTTCTTACCTAAGTGTAGGACTTTACTTTTCTCTATATTGAATTTCATTTTGTTAGATAGGGCCCAGTGTTCAAGTCTGTCAAGATCCAACTGGATCTTGAGCCTATCTTCTAGGGTGTTAGTTATTGTTGTCAGCTTAGTATCATCTGCAAATTTGGCAAGTTCTCCTTCTATTCCCTCCTCTAAGTCACTTATGAAGATATTGAAGAATAGTGGGCCTAAGATGGAACCTTATGGTACCCATTGTTTACTTCTCTCCATGTAGACTTAGACCCATTAAGGACTACTGGCTGAGTACGGTTTGTCAGCCAGTTGTGAATCCATCTGGTGGTGAAGCTATCTATTCCACTTTTTTCTAGCTTATGAAGAAGTAGGTTGTGGTCTACTTTGTTGAATGCCTTGCTGAAATATAACTATATTATGTCCACATTTCACTGGTCTACTAATTTAGTCTGATCTTGCACTGCTTCTCTGTGATGTTCTATGCGCTGCCTGGTGTCAGGGTTGATGATGAATAAGATGCCCAAGACTTATTAAAATCACCCTCCTTTGACTATTTCACAGAAAGTTTCAATAATCCCTAGCTATCAGAAACACGAAATGAGTGGAGTTCCTTGGTCTTTTAATTAACCAAGTTGGTCACATTGGGGTAGTTTATAAATGTTGCTAAATAAATACAGTCCCAAAAATAAGACCCAACTGGAAAATAAACCCTAGCATGATTTTTCAGGATGCTAGTAATATAAGCCCAAAATAAGCCGCAGTTAAAATCATTAGCCAGACGGATGCATTTAATACCATATTTTCCCCAAAATAAATACTTAACCTGAAAATAAACCCTAATGCATCTTTTGGAGCAAAGATTAATATAAGCCCCAATCTTATTTTCAGGAAAACACTGGACAAGTGAATAAATAAATCAAAATTGAGTGGGCAAAGCTGCTGACTCCAGTTCATTTTATTGGGCTCTCTACAATGGGTCGTTCCAAGACTTCCAACAATGGGTCTCCTCCCTTCTCAGGACTCTAAGTGGTAAGAATGGGTTGACTTCCCATCTCCTTCTCAAGAAGATAAATACATTATGGCAGAAATCTTCAGAGGGGTATCTAAGGTTATGGTCCCAAAAGGTCAAGATGTGATGCAGAGAAAAACCAGCCTTGATTGCATTATCCCCACCACCATCCTGGCTTTTTATAATTGTGCCTTGTGGACTCTCCTATTAGAGGGGAAAATGTACCAATGAGTCAGGAGTGAAATCCAGCAGGTTCTGACAGGTTCTGGAGAACTGGTAGCGGAAATTTTGAGTAGTTCGGAGAATCGGCAAATACCATCTCTGGCTGGCCCCGCCCCATCTATTCTCTGCCTCCTGAGTCCCAGCTGATCAGGAGAGAATGGAGATTTTACAGTATCCTTCCCCTGCCACGCTTACCAAGCCACGCTCACAGAACCAGTAGTAAAAAAAATGAAATTTCACCACAGCAATGAGCCCTATTTTCCTTACCTCTGTTGAATCTCTGGAGGTGAAGGGACACTTTTGAAAAAGAGAGTTATCATAGATAATGCCTCTAAGCAACCATCCTACTTACGCATCTCCAAGGTAGAGGTTTGGCCACACTTGGTCCACATGGTTGTCAGATCCTCCTCTGGCCCATACCATTCTCTGCAATTCGGACAGTGCTGGGGTCTCATAAAGGTTTTTCCTCTCTGGACTGGGATTGTGGGAAGAATGGGTGCTCAGATTGGTCATGGCTGCTCTATACTTCTGTTCACACGGTGATTCCCCGCTGACCTTTCTGGAAACAAAAGAGTTCGGTTTTCCATTAATAATTATATTTTGCATTGTTAGAAGGAATATCCTTCTGGGTTTAGTTCCAAGTGGGAAGAAAGACGCCGGAACATGGAGACTGCTTGGAAAGATGGTTTTATTGATGAACAGGACCACATGGGTTTGAAGTCCTGGGCAAAAAGGCAGATGGGTGAGAAATAGAGATAGATTTGTACCCTCTGTTCTGCTTTGAATTTGAGCTTGTATTCTGATTGGTTGTCAGACTCCCATGGGGCCATGCAGGAATAACTTTGTAGGTTGTCTTTGAGTTCTAGGCTTGGTTGATTCTGGCTGGGTGATGATGTAATGAAAGGGATTTGGGCAATTCCTACTATCACTCTGCCTAAAGGAGATAGATCTTTGTTATGTAGAATAGACTGGCTCAGGCCTTAATGGCCCATTGACAAAGATGGGGGGGATGAGTTTCTGCCTCCCTTTTAGGAGAAACATTCTGTCCTTTTAATATTTCCTAAAATATCTTATTTTCCTTAGGAGGGGGTTGTGTGCTAACTTCCTACAGCATATAACTAGTGTTCTAAATTGCTCCTCTCTCTTTCTATTGCTATTTGATATATAGAAATAAGTATGTATGTGTGTGCGCACATACAGACACATTCATACATACCCACAGCTGGTTCGGGCGAAGCGGTAGCTCCAAAGATTATCTGGCCACGCCCACCCACCCCTGCTCTATCCTGTCCTTTATTTCCTGCTTTCCAGCTCATCTCAATTGCGCAACAAAGCTGACCCCCCCCCCAATGTTTTACTTACCATTGCTGACTTGGAGTGTAAGCAGCTGAGCTTCTAAATGCTCCATTTTCAGCACTGCACGCATACACAAAACACATATACATGCAAAGCGCATGCTCACCAAACCCAGTTGTTAAACTGGCAGCATCCCACCACTGCACACATACGTATTGCTTTTTAAACCACCCAGGGTCACCTTGTGATGAGATGGGACACAAATAAATTTAACAAACAAACAAACAAACACAAGTGCACAACATTGCTTACGTCTTTCTTGCTGAAAAGCATGATGTAGCCCCCCTTTGGAGCACATTGCAATAATCAAGAGAGGATGTAACTGAGGCAGGGGTGATCGTTCTCAAATGCAACCACCTCAGGAAGCAATGCAGCTGGTGCATCAGTGTGACTATGTGAAATTCTTTGTCCCTGCAACCTCTGCATGACCCAGCGATCCAGGGAATCCAGGTGAGGTTGAAGGAGCATATCCACGTTGCAGGCTTGCTCTCCGTTCCCCAGATGTGGTTTCCTCTCAGCCTGTGCTACTTGGCTAAGAGTTCAGTTTGCTTGCCTTCACCCAACCTGTTACTGATTTCAGGCAATGTTCAGGGATGCTTCCTTGGCCCTGAGTGGTACATAAGGAGGAATAGCTGACATGGTGCTGATAAAACTGCTTCCCAGGCAGTAGTGGGATTCAAAAAATGTTACCACCGGAAGGATACTGTAAAATCTCCATTCTCACCCCACTCCAGGGGAAGGATACTGCAAAACTATTCAAAATTTCCACTACCAGTTCTCCAGAACTGGTCAGAACCTGCTGAATACCACTTCTGTTCCTAGGACATTTTTAGCTTAACAAGCATCACATTGACCTCTTAGAACTCAGTGATGTCTTCTTTTCCCCCCTTCTTTTTATAGAAAATTGGAAAAATCACAGTATCGAACATCTTCACAGTGAAGATGGGCATATATGTCTGGATGGCTTCAGTCTATCCGAGATAACTCTCTGCAGTGGCAAAACAGCTAGTTTTGCCTGAGGCCATTATCCCTGCTTTAAATAAATCTGTGTGTTCTGAAAGAAGAGAAGAAATCCATATTTTTATCCCCAGTCTACTATTTATTTATTTATTTGTTTGTTTGTTTGTTTGTTTGTTTGTTTATTAAATTTTGTATGCCGCCCACTCTCAAATGAGACTCAGGGCGGCTTACAGTAAAAGGGAGGGGGGATATATAAAAAATAAACAACAGTTTAAAATTACACAACAGTCACAAACCTGAAGTGGGGCTGGACAACTCAACAGCCCCAGGCCTGCTGGAACAGCCAGGTCTTAGTCGCTTTGCGGAAGGCCGGAAGGGTAGTGAGGTAGTGAGTCTCTGGATTTGATTCATGCAGCTGAATTTTCTCCCTGCATGAAGTCCTTCAAGCTCACCAAAAACCAGGTTTTGGGGAGCTGTTTTTCATTGCCTGGAAGGAAAACATTGGGACGTGTAAACTTCCTTTCAGCCATACCTGGGTGCCCCAGCAGATATCCAGGTTCCTAGATAGCTCCAAAGATTTCTTTTTAGCCATGAGCCATGAGATCTCGAATTTTGACCACTATTGAGCTCTGAACATTTCTGTTGCTAAGCAACATTTATGTTATGTGAGTCACTAAACAAATGGTTGTGTTGAGAGCTACCTGTATTTTAGTAGAACGAAGACCTGAGGAAGCTACATAACAAGAGTTCATTCTTCTTACACTTATTATTAGGGGAGACATGGTAGCATCCTTCCAATATTTGAGGGGCTGCCACAGAGAGGAAGGAGTCAAGCTATTTTCCAAGGCACTCAAAGGCCAGACAAGGAACAATGGGTGGAAACTGAACAAGAAGAGATTCAACCTACAAGTAAGGAGAAATTTCCTGACAGTGAGAACAATCCACCCATGGAACAGAAGTTGCCTTCGGAAGTTGTGGGAGCTTCATCACTGGAGGCTTTCAAGAAGAGACTGGACTGCTAGCTGTCAGAAATGGTGTAGGCCAGAGTAATATTTAGCACATTCTGATCAGTTCTGGAGAATCAGTGGTGGAAATTTTAAGTAGTTCGGAGAACCGGTAAATACCAACTCTGACTGGCCGCGCCCCCATCTATTCTCTGCCTCCCGAGTCCCAGCTGATTGGGAGGGAATGGGGATTTTACAGTATCCGTTCCCCTGCCACACCTACAAAGTCACACCCAGCAAGCCATGCCACGGCCACCAAGCCACACCCACAGAACCGATAGTAAAAAAAATTGAATCCCACCACTGGTATAGGCTGTATGGTCTCCTCCTTGGGCAGGGGGTTGGACTAGATGACCTACAAGATCCCTTCCAACTCTGTTAATCTGTTAATTAAATCTGTTAATTATAAACAGAACGATTGGTACCTGTTTGCAGTTGGTTCTTTTTCTTGTTATCTTCTGCAAAATTCTTGCAGGCTCTTGCCTCTTTCATCCAGAAGTAATAAAGCCTATTGCATAATCCTTCTGGCTGGTTTCTTTTTTTAGTCGCTGATAGCCAACCCTCTGCTGGTGTTGGATAAATACTGTTTCAACATAGTGTGTTTATAGATTAGGTTTCTGATACTTTTGGCATACGCCTGGCATTCAGCCTGCTTCTTGGGCCCTGCATCCTGTAATCAGAGTAGAAACATGAGAAAACCACTTTACAAATGACTGCAGAAGTAGCTCAGGATTCTTAAAAAATATAACCTGGGAAAGGACTGACAATTGAGAGAGGATTGCAGATTTATACTTTCAGTGGGATTGGCTAACCTTAGAATATATTTTCCTTGTGATAGTAAAAGGGCTATTCTAAAACTTGTATTCCATTCTGGGGCTGCATAAAATTTAAATCCAGCTCTTGCGAAAATTATTTACATTTGGCTACTATTAAAAATGCAGACTGCGGTGGTGGGATTCAAAACTTTTTACCACTGGTTCTGTGGGCATGGTGTGGCTTGGTGGGCGTGGCTTTGTGGGCATGGCAGGGGAAGGATACTGCAAAATCCCCATTCCATCCCCACCCCACTCCAGGCCACAGATACTGTAAAATCCCCATTTAGGTTTAGGTTTAGGTTTATTAGATTTATATTTCCACCCCACTCCAGGGCAAGGATACTGCAAAATCCCCGTTCCCTCCCCACCCCACTAACATGCTTTCCAGCTCCGTTCTCCTGTGCAGGGCAACAGAAAAAGACCCAGCTGATCAGCTGGGACTCAGGAGACGTGAATTGATGGGGGGGCAGGAATTAAGTTTCTGAATGAGGAACAGCATTTTCCGAATATATCAAAAAATCTTGATTGACGTCTCCATTATGCTGCCATCAGGTACATACAATAATCCCCTCTTTAGGTCAATAAAATCCCTCTTCAGGTTTTATTGCAAATGGAGCTGCTAAGATTTCAGATAAGCATTGCTGGCTGAGATCCATTGGTTCATCTAGGAGCCAAGAAGACTTCTGGTTAGCTGTCAGTTTTTTAGGAGAGCAACAAAATGCTGAGGGACCCAGGAACATCCTAACTCTAATAGACGGAGCAACCTATTAGAATATAGAATAACAGAGTTATTCAGAGTTGGAGGGGATCTTGGAGGTCTTATAGTCCACGGCCGAGACAATCCGATTTCTTAATGCAAAACTTTATTGAGTACATCATTTTGGCACAGATGAGGGTAAAACCAGATCTAGCTAATTCCCACGCAAACCCACATAATAAAAGTATGGATTCTCCCTCCCCCCATTAGAACAGGTCACGTTGTCAATTGAGTCTCATTGTATTGTTATGAGAAAAAGGCTTTGGCTTTGGCAAACACCTGCTGGAGTGTCCTTGGCTCTCACAGCTGTCTTCTTGATGTCTGGAGTCTACAGTCAATTCCCCCCTTTCCCCCGCCCCCCCCCCCCCCAGTTCATTGGCAAGCTGAGAAGCAACAATGGCTCCAACTGCAAAAGCACACTTTGAAACTTGATACAAGCA